CCATCCCTTCCATTCCCTTCTCTCCCTCCCCTCCCTTCCCCTCCGCGTGCTCCCCTCCCCTCGTGTCCCCCTCCTCCCTCCCCTCCCCTTTCCTCCCCCTCCCCTTCCCTCTTTTGCCTCTCCCCCTCCTCCTCCCCCTCCTCTCCCCCCTCCCTTTCCGCGGCGCTGCCGCTCCCTCCGTCATCCTCCCTCCTCCCCCCTTCCCCTCCCCTCCTCTTGTGTGTTGCCCCGCTTCCGCCTTCCCCTCTGCTGCGCCCCCTAATATACCATCTGGCCGCCTTGTCCCTCGGCCCCGGGTGGACCCCACACTACGCTCCGAGTCACCAACTGACTCCTGTGTCACCCCATCTCCTCTCCCTTCCTTTCCTTTGTTTCCTCATGGTATACGGCAATTTAATCCAATAACATATTTAAAAATAATGGCGGACCATACAACTTCTCCTCCAAATACATCAAATACGTCTCTAGGTTTTTAGCTTCCTAAGCTATTTCTAACTATTCTTCATTTCTATTCCAATATTCTTCTGGCCAACCAGAACTGCATACAACAGAACATGGCACAGAGGATCAGTTTCAAGTAACCCCCCTCCCCGTACAAAAACACCCCCCACCCCAAGTATCGCTCACGAGAGCACCACAAGTGCTGGAGCGCCGTCGCTGCCTTGCCCTTCTCCGGCATCATAGCCTATTTGATCTCCTCCTGAACCGATGCCCTCTCCCGCGCAAACTCGCACCTTGTGATTTTCCCCAGCGTGTAGCCCCTCGTCCAAGAAGTTTTTTTCTTAAAGGAATAATTTCTTTTCCTGGTCTGCTCTTCCTACCTTCCACCCCTCATCACCAAACAGATGGAGTAGAAGACAGACAGAACCCAGAACATTCTCTGTATAGTTATTCCACTTCCGCGTGCCTTTCCACGCGACTGACTGCTCACCATTTCGGCCTCCCAAAATGTTGGGATTACAGGCGTGAGCCACCACGCACGGCCAGGACCCCTTCACTTTCTGCCCAACTCGGACAGACGCGGCTCTCCAGGCTTTCAGTCCTTGGTGAATTCTTCACCCTACAAGACCAGCCCCTATCTCACATTTCCGCTGGAATGTTTCACGCCCGGCCCCTTCACAGAGTCTATTATCTCCTCACCTACCTTCCCTTGGCTTTGGTTTATCCCTCAACTGTCAACATATAAATCTTTTTCTTTGGTGCTCTCTCTCCTGGGCATAAACTCCTCCCCATGTTCACCTTGGTACCCGCTGCTGCTTACACGGCCCCCGCTCGGCAGGAACGCCCCACAGATGTTTTCCCAACTGAGGCGCTTTCCCTTTCCCATTGCAGATCGTGGCAGGTTGATTGGCGGCTTGCCTGATGTGGTGACCATCATGGAAGGGAAGGTGAGGATTCTAAACTCGGCCGGGGTGGGGTGTCAGCGCGGTGCAGTGCACGCAGCCCCTCCTCTTGGGGCAGAGCAGAGGGAACCCAGCGAGGGGCTTCTGTGTCCTCACTCAGCCTGCAGGGAACCCAGAGTCCCCCCCAATTTCCTGCCCCTCCTCGACGGCCTGGGATAACCCCAGTATTCTCCAAGGAAGGAATCGTGTAACATTCTGAATCCACAAACCTGTGGTCACAGGAACACATCGTGCCACTTGGGCACCTCAAGGCAGGTGCTGTGGCTATGGGTGTTTGTAGGCCCTCAGGATCTGCCAGGGTCTGGTGCCACCTGCCCCTGTGGCCATTCACCCAGAGGAGCTAGTGCAGGACGAGGCGGCCACACCCGCCATGGCCTGCCTTCCTGTGTGAAGGTGCAGGCCCCCTCTTCCCGTGTGAGAGAACACAGCTTTAACTACACGGAAGAAGAAAATCTCTGCTCTCACTCTCAAGGTCACTGTGGAACACATCGCGGAAGCCGCTTACTGGAGTGTAATTTGTTGCCTGTCAGGAGAATCATTGATATCTAATTGATACTTCTCTGGTTGCTTCAGTGGGTCTAACTCAATGTCACAGGGACAGAGATACTTGAGAGAATTTTATTAGGCCAGAAGACAAAAGTGTATAGACTTCTTCTTTAGCAGTTAAAGGAAAAGCCTAGAGAGCCTTGAGATGTCATCTTAGGATGTAACTGAGAAATTAGCAATCGTTTCACTTTATCCTAGGCTGAAAGCATATTTTAACTAAGCTTCAAGAATGCATTTTTTTTGCCTCCAGTTTACCAGTTATAAGACAATATATTCATGGGGTCCGCCAGAGGAACTGGTAAGAGGGACCCATACGTCTAAATAGAAAGGAATTTGGGAGCAGGCTGGATATATCTACTATAAAACATAGCGCTTAATTAAATTACTTTCAAATTAGTTAATTGACTTAGGCTATGGATAAAAGCTGAGAATAAATAGGACATGTGCTCACTGATTTTTTATGAGCTCCCCTGTGACACAGTGAACCTGTTCCCTACTGTCCTCTGGCTGCTCTGTCTAGAGTGGTGCTTATGTACATAAAGCCTTGTTGCTAAACAAACCATTGAAGGACCAGTACGTGTCACTGAGTGTGACCTGGAGCACACCGTCTGAGGCGGTGATAGAACTTTCCCTTTTCTAACTCTTCCTTCTCCACCAACCTCTTCCTTCCAAAGACCTTGAATCTCACCTGCACGGTGTTTGGAAACCCCGACCCCGAAGTGGTTTGGTTCAAGAACGACCAGGACATCGAGCTCAGCGAGCACTTCTCGGTGAAGGTGGAGCAGGCCAAGTACGTCAGCATGACCATCAAAGGCGTGACCTCTGAGGACTCGGGCAAGTACAGCATCAACGTCAAGAACAAGTATGGCGGGGAGAAGATCGATGTGACGGTGAGCGTGTACAAACACGGGGAGAAGATCCCGGACGTGGCCCCACCCCAGCAAGCCAAACCCAAGCTCATCCCGGCGTCTGCCTCGGCGCCAGGCCAGTGAAGGCGTTTTCGCGGCCTGGAGAGGGGAAAATATGCTTGGCAGAGACAGGAGTGCTGTGTGCTTGTTCCAGAGGAGCGGCCGGCGTCCGAGTGGCGTCCTGTGTGGGCCGGTAGTTGATCACACATTGTGCTTTTGATTTTTGCGTTTGGTGATGATTATACCCGTCTAAGGGAGAAAGCTAACATTTTCCACAAGACAGAACAACGTGTTTACACGAGGGTAGACGGCAGGCACCTGACAGAGAGTGGGTTGGCAGATCACACACTAGCATTTGCATGGGTGTGGGCACATGGGCGCGGCACCCGGACGTGTGGAGCATGTGGCGGTCTGTGTGAAGCCACCGAGAAGCTGCCGTGCTGCTCTTTGGGAGCCGCGGGATCTAGCAGCTCTGAAATCTTGGCTGCGGAGCCTTTGAAGCATGTGTTACCTGGTTAAGCTTGTTTTTTCTTGCTTTAGGCAAATAAAACTTTAAAAATCACCTTGTTGTGGTTTTCCTGTACCAAATCACACCTACCTGCACCTGCTCACCCTCCTGGCTTGTTTAATTATGGGGTATCATGCACTTTCACGGCTGGTGGGGTGCAGACAGCGCACTCACACTCCAGAGGGCAGGGCATGATGAATCATACCTCCAAAGCCCCTCCGACCTGCGGGGCGGGGCTGCCAGCCCCAAGCGGCACCCAAGACAGCACCAGTCTTAAGAAGTGTGCATTTTGTGCAAGGCTTAGAAAGGTCACCTAGTGATTATACCACGGGGAAAACAAAATGCATAGATGGCTCTGTTCTTTTTTAGTGTGCTAATGAATTAGGAAGGGATATCAAAAGAAAAAAGGCACTCGTTTGGAATGATCACTGTAGTAGCCATGGAGGAAAAATAAAAACTTGGCGGCCTACACAAGGCCTCTTGGTGAAGTTAAAAAACATGTTTAGGAGGAACATACCCTCTCTTTGAACTTTTTCTTCCTTTGGAAAGAGGCTGAAATTCTTCTGGCATAAAAATCCCATTTCAGTATTTTAGTTTTATTGTTGCTTTATAACAGGAAAAGCTTTGATAATTAAGAATGTTTTACCTTTCTGTCTCATTAAGGGCAATCCAAATTTTACGAGATTTTGTTATATTTTTCTAAGGTAATAATACAAATCCTGAGAATTAAATAAGTCCCCAATAACATAAAGCTGGCTGAGCTGGTTTCCATGGCAGTAAAGTGAGTGTCAGCAAGAATTTTATTTTTATTATTTCTCCCTTCTCTGTCAAGCAGGTGAACTTTAGCGGAGTTTGTTCTTACTGCCTGGTGGAGCCGCATTTTCCAAAGCGGCTTGGCGAGGGTAGGCACAGACAGACTTGTCTCCATTTGACCTTGATTCAGGTACACAGATTTTGTTTATTTTCCAGTTTAAACAGTCGTTTTTGTTTAGCAATTGTGGTTCATGGGAAAGAATTCAAATGGTGGTGAATTTCTTAAAGCCATATATACTATTTTTAATAGATCCCCTTTTTGAGCAGTTTTAGGTTCACAGCAAAGTTAAAGGGAAGGTAGAGATCTCCACTCCAGCCCCTGCCCCAACCACAGCTTCCCCCACGACCAACACCTCCCACCAGAGGGGTGTGCTTGTTACACCCACTGCACTCACACTGACACGTCACCATCGCCACGGGGCAGAGTTTACCCTGGGCTCACTCCTGGCGCTTGTTACAACCGCTGCACCCACACTGAAGCCTCACCACTGCGGGGGGCTGGAGTTTCCCCCGGGCTCGCTCCTGGCGCTGTCGGCTCTGTGGGTTTGGTTGGGTGATGAGGACTCATGTCCAGCACTGTTGCATCATGCACAGTCTTTTCTCTGCCCTAAAAATCTTCCCTTCAACCCCTGAGCATTTTACTACCTCCATAATTTTGAGTTATAATATTTTTAAAATAAGTTATTTTTTTTTAATGAATAGTCTCAGACATGCAGCGAAGTGTCTTTACAACGGTGCAGAGAGCCCCAGTGGACTCCACACAGTCTTCCTGTTTTTCACCTCTCGTGTCGCTGTGGGGCGAGACGATGGCCTCACCTCCAGGCGGCCTTTGGACCTTGCTGGGTCTCCCCAGTGCCCTCTCTCTGTCCCAGGACCCATCGAGGACACCACATGCATTTGCTGGTCACGTCTCCCAGCCCCTCCGGCCTGTGACGGTTTCTGCCTGTCCTTGCCTTTCATGACCTTACTGGCTTGGAGGAAGCTTGCTGGGTATCTGGTAGGATGTTCCCCAGTCGAGGTCCCCAGTCCCTGGAAGACGATCTTCCCGTGATGAGATTGGGGTGTGTGATTTTGGGAAGAGGAGTCACATGACACCACGGCGCCCAACATCCACCAATCTTCGTCACTGGCTCAGGTGATGTCTGCCTGCTGTCTCCCATGAAATGCCTGTTTGTTCCTCTTCTCCTTCTATTCCTTGGGAGCCTGTCTCAGCCCAGGCCACCCTCAAAGAAGGAAGAGCGTGGAATCACATTCCCCTCTCGGAGCAGGAGCATCTACCTCTGTTATTTATAATTCTGCAAGAAAGATTGTCTCCTCTCCCGATTTATTTATTTATTCTGTCATTTACTGATACCTGCATGGACTCGTGTGCTCTGTTTCATCTCTGGGATGTGACCCATGCTCTGCCGTGCGTTTTCCTTCCTTCCCTCCCTCCTTTCTTTTTCTTTCTTTCCTTTTTTTTTCCCCCTTGAGACAGAGTCTCCCTTTGTTACTCAGGCTGAAGAGCAGTGGCACGATCTTGGCTCCCTGCAACCTCCGCCTCCCAGGTTCAAGCAGTTCTCCCGCCTCAGGCTCCTGAGTAGCTGGGATTACAAGCAACTGCCACCATACCCAGCTAACTTTTGTATTTTTAGTAGAGAGGGGGTTTCACCTTGTTGGCCAGGCTGTTCTTGAACCCTGACCTCAGGTGATCCGCCTGCCTCAGCCGCCCAGAGTGCTGGGATTACAGGCGTGAGCCACCGTGCCCAGCCTACTTTCTTGCTCAGGTTTTTCCAGTGTTGGCCATGGGGAGCCCTTTTCTGCCAGTCTCCTGCGTCTGTTCACAGCTCCGTCTTTGGGCACAGCCTGATTTTCTGGCACTGCAGGACACCCAGGCTCATCTGCGTGTTCCCTGCTCTGGTCCTAGACCCATTTCTCCAACGACCCCTGGTTCCTTTTACTGAAGGGTGGGATTAGAAGCCAAGATCTGGGTGCTGCTGTGTTTATGCAAATGAATGTCTCAAGATATAGGTGATGCCACTCGGATCACCCACGGCTCCCTCAGGGCAGAGCGGAGAACTGGGCACCTGGAAAGGCATCTAGGTCGCCCACTGCTTGTCCCTGGAAATACTGGGCTTATCTCTCTCGGAGGAAGTGTTCCGCCCTTTCGTCGCTTTTTATTTTTTTTATTTTTTTATTTTTATTTTTTGAGGTGGAGTCTTGCTCTGCTGCCCAGGCTGGAGTGCAGTGGCTGGAGCCAGCTCACTGCAAGCTCCGCCTCCCGGGTTCCCGCCATTCTCCTGCCTCAGCCTCCCGAGTAGCTGGGACTACGGGCGCCGCCACCGCACCCGGCTAGGTTTTTTTGTTTGTTTGTTTGTTTGTTTTTTAGTAGAGACGGGGTTTCACCGTATTAGCCAGGATGGTCTTGATCTCCTGACCTCAGGTGATCCGCCCACCTCGGCCTCCCAAAGTGCTGGGATTACAGGCGTGAGCCACCGCGCCCGGCCCCTTTCGTCGCTTGTTAAGAATCCGTGCATGTGGCAGCGGAGGCAGCAAAGGCTCAGCACGGGGAGGGCGGTGGTCGGAGTTCGTCGCTTGAGTCGTTTCATTTGACAGCTGTGAGGATGACACCGGGAGGGTACAGAGTCCTTTGCCGAGGTCTTGATTCTGTGGAAAAAAAAAAATTAACTTTTCCTAGAGCCATTTGGAAATACATTTCATACGTCGTCGGCGTCACACTTCTCTGTCTTGGTTGTTTCCCAGGAACAAGGAGCAGAGCGTTCCCTTGTGTTTCCACAGCACAGCTCTCAACGTTGAGGGACCGACCATCACACAGCAGCGCCATCTGTAATCCATAGGCTAACCTCGCCAGTCATCCCGACAGCGTCCCAGCTGGAGTTCAGGTTGCAGTTTAGGCTCACGTGTTGGGTTTAGTTGCCACAGCTTTGTTTCTCTGGAAGATCCTTCTTTGTCATTAGTCAGGTGGGTAATTTTGGAGCGCACAGGCCAGTGGTTCCACAGAGCAGTTCTCCTTCCCGGGCCTGCCGAGGGCTCCTCCTGACTCCATCGGGGCTGCGTATCCTGGGGGTGTGACTGTATCCCGGGTGTGTGACCGCACGTGTACTCTGAGAGCTCAGTTACAGAAAGGATGAGTTTGGCATTCACATGATTATGAAATGTGGGGCTTGGGTGTGGAAGTGAGGCTTTTTAAATAAATCAAGTATCTGCTAAAAATGTCTATCAGTTCAACAACTTCTGTAGCCACCTCTTGAGAATCGTTAGATAAAAGTTGCTGACACCCAGCTGAAGAAGTGATCTTCCTGGGAGATGCTGAGCCCAAGAAAGTAAAAGTTGTATCTGTGGGAGTGTAAATAGTGGAAATTTGACTCAGCATGAAAAAAAAAAACCCAATAGTTCATCAAACTAACAATGTTAGGAGTCGTTGGCTTCCAAAACAGAGGCGAGGGCTAACAAGAGTGAGACAAACATTTTTTGCAGACTAACTCATTCCTGCTTATTTCCTGGAGAATGTGCTAGTGTGTTCAGCTCATGTGAGAAACAGAAGGATTTTGCATTTTACAAAAGTAAGAAAGTAAGACTGCCCATAGACTAATTTTTAGGCTTGATTTTAGCCAAAGGCAGAGAAGTGATCATATCCCATTTTTAAGAAATAAATTTGAAGCCAATTAATTCATTTCAACTCTACCTTCTCAGGCCTCGCCAGAATGAAACTGTAAGATTAGAAAATGAGCCCAAGATCCCTTACTGGGAACCACGTTTTTTTCCCAAGCCTCAGAAGGGCATGTTGGAGGAAGTGCTGCTTTGAGCAGAGAGAGAGAAACCCAGGAACAGAAACCATTTATTTTGTAGGATTAAGTAGACCTCATTTTACGTTAAATGATTATGGAACAGGGAGATGTACTGCAAATAAACGAAGAGGCATTTATACCATTTATTTAAAAATTGGCTACTTTCTGAAGGATTCACACAAGGTTTCTTTACTGTACAAACATTAAGCCAAGACCTGTTCCTTATACTGTATCACAACTGCACTTCCATTTTCGGAAAAGGAGGATCATTCTATATGTGTTTCGATGGCTGAGAGTGAAAATACACACCACAGACAGGGCTTGCATGGAACACGCCAGCCTCACTCCATGGGTGACTAATATGTGGCTGACGGCAGGGCATGCATTTTTTTTCTTTTTTTCTTTTTCTTTCTTTTTTTTTTTTGTGTGTGATGGTGTCTCACCCTGTTGCCC